ACAGGGCACAGAGCTAGGGGAATGTTACTGCTCCAGTCGCATTCGCAAGTCGAGCATGTGACATCTGACAAAATTAGCTCGGAGATTTCGCCACCCACTACGGCTGGCGGCAAACGTGTACACAGTCTGATTCTGCGTGGTAGCACGAGGGAGTTGTCTCCACCACTGCGACACATCAGTATCAGCTCGCCTAGGGTGGAACCGCCTAGGGTGACGTACTCCCGTGATTGCAAGCGCTTGTTGGTGGCCCCACCAGTGGAAGTCACACCATGTCACAGCTTCCGAAAGCTCTCCCGAGGACCGAAACATATGTCCAAGCCAATCATGCCTACGTTGTAACCACAGTTAGCTCCACGGCTTGAAGCTGTCATGTTGCCGATGCCATGCGGTTCTCATGAGTTCCCACGCTCTGCGCAACCTCCTGCCATGTGTCATTGGGCTCTCTTGGGCATGCAATCATTGCTGCAAGCATCGAGGCCTGCATGGAGTTGATGCGTTCAATCGCCTTTTTGCTGGGTCTCCAGGCATAAGCACTCCACAGCACAATTGAAGAGACTTTGCTGTTAAGAACTTGCGCTCTCTTTTTTAACGCAGACCGCTTGCAGACGAGAACATGCTTGAGGGACATGAAGGCCGCCCACGCTTTGGAGATGGCAACGTCAACATGAGCATCCTTGAGCTCCACACCAAACTCCCAGAACACGTTGAGGCTCATCAAGTGGCGCCGGATGGATGGGACCTTGAGTAGTGTGTACTGGAGCTCTGGATGCCCATGTGTTGGCCAGGAACTTGGATTTGGGAGGTGCGACGCGGAGTCCTCTGGACCGAAGTTGCGTCTCTGCGACGGTGAGCAATTTCTGCATTGCTGCATGATGCCCTGCAAACAAGTATATGTCATCCATGAATGCGGCTGTAGGAGGAAAACACGGATGCCCTCGGAACAGAAATGACAGGTCATGGGCAAGTGGCAAATCGTCCCTGACATCCTGTAGAATCATGTCCATGACAGCACTGAAGATGACTGAAGATTCCGGAGCTCCCTGACGAACTCCTCGTGTGGGATGCACAGTGGCTTCCGAGCAGGTATCATAAATGGATGCTGTAAGAGATTGGTGTTGCAAAGACTGAAGCATGACCCATTCAGTGGCAGGGTTTACGGGGCGTCGGCGAAAAAGCTCCAAAATGGCCGTCCACTCTAGGTTGTCAAAAGCCCCCTTGACGTCCAAGCTGACAACATACGCAGGTTGGGACCACTCCCGGGAGCGACAGAAGAACAAGTCAACCAATGCGACTACATCCAACACTTGCCCGCCCTTCTGCCCAGCAACTTGCCCTGCTGAATGTCGAGGCAGCTCAGCTTGAAGGCACGCGACCATGATCTTCATGAGGACTTTGTATGAAACTGCTGTAACGGCGATAGGTCGGAATTGGGATATGTCACGCGGAAGCGCTACTTTGGGCAGCAAAATGACATCGGCAAGTGACCAGATCCATGGCCATGGTTCTTGCTGGAAAAGGATGCGATTGAACCACTGCTGCAGTCCTATGGCACTCTCATCAGTGAAGCTGTGCAACATCTCGTTAGACAAGCCATCACTTCCCACCGCCTTTTGTGATTTCAGGGCCTGGAGAGCTGTGTGCAACTCACGCTCAGTTACAGGAACCATTTCAGACAGACGTGTTGACAGAAACTCCTGGCGGGATCGTAGGAGTCGTGGGGCACCTTGATGTTCAGCTTGGAATACTGTTGTCAAGCGGTTTGCTGCAAGCCGATGCCACTCCGCATGCAAGCACCAGCGACCGCTGTCATCGTGAAGACCTCGCGGGATAGGTCGTTTGACGCGTTGGACGCTCCTAGGCACCAGCTTCTGCAGAGCCCTCATGGCTCCCCAACATCCAGCAGCAGCTTGCGCTAGCAGATTCTCCCGCCACGCTATTTGTGCACATTTCCGCGCTCGCAGAATTTGGATGGACAATCGTGCTTTGGCCTGAGCATCGTGTTCATGCCGGCGAGCCTCAATGAGCAGCTTGACGTCGGAAGGATCCGAGTAACCGAAAGAGCACGGAGATCGGGAATATTTCAGAAAAGCCTGGCGCACATCACTCAACGCTGCCGGGAGCAACTCAGATCTACGCATATCCGATGCTTGGAGTTGGTTGTATGTGGCGAGAATGGTGGTCACCTCCGCATTGTAGGCCTGAAGTGCCGATGGGTCCACGACACTATAGCCCTTCCCCATAGGTGGCCTACGCCGTGTCGAAAACTGCGCGTGGGTATCTGACACTGCTGCGCCCGAGAAGAAGAAATTTAGCTGGATAGCCTCGTGGTCCGTGTTGAAGAAAGAATGCAGGTCACGTCTCACACATGCATGGCATGGGACATGGCGCACGTTGCTAGCAAACCAGTCGATACTCTGACCATGTACAGGATCCCCAAAATGGCCCCATGAATATCGCGTGGGTTTCAACGGCAGGTCCTGAGCATGAAGTTTCAGACCATGTTGCCCAAGGGCAGTCACAAGGCAGTCCCCACGGCGGTTGGCCGGCAGGAGCAGAACGTCATGTGGCAACTCTTGATCCTGTTCCTCAACAGCTTGGCTGAACTCTGCATTGAAATCCCCTCCGATCAAAACGATCCTCTCATCCCTCACCTGATCAGACAGAATGTAGCTGAGAGCTGACACCGCCTGCTCATACTGCTCGAAGGGTTTGTTGGAGTGAGGAAGATGAAGGTTGAAGACATGAAACTGGGCACCGGTGTCTCTGCTATAGAGAATGGCATGTCCACCAGACCGGAAACTGCCTGGAGCGCTGGGGCGCTGAAAAGTGTCCTTGGAAGCATAGATCTGCAGACTACGAAAAAGCCCTGTATCATGGGCAGGAAATGTAAGAACCCACCAGTCTGGGTGACTGTCATCCAGTTCTGGCGTAGACTTTGTAGAAGTAACCTCTTGAATCAAATGAAGATTGGGAAAAGCAGTACAATCACTGTCATCTGCGCCCATGGCCTCAACAAAATTTAGGACATCCTCCTCTCGGCCTCCTGCCACATTCCACGAAAGAGCAGAAATGGAGATTTGGCGATCCTTCTGTACATGATCCGACCCAGAGCAACCAGAGACACCACCCTGCAGCCGTCACGACGACCTTAGCAGCTGAGCCTGAGCCCATGCAGACTTGACCTCCAGCTCAGTTTTGGCAAGAGAGTCGCACAGGACTCGCACAACTGGCAAGTTTGGATCGTTTTGGTACTCAGCAATACGCACATCCTGGTGCCAGACAACTTCTCTACGGTAGTCAGCCTCCAAATTCGTGGGATCGGCTCCCAACGCTTTTGCACATCTGAGGACTCTTGATGCGAAGGAGGACACCATGCGTTCTGCCCTGCTCTTATGTGGAGCGAACCAAAGCTGGTTTCCCTCATGGGCTGGGTTGAGCTCTTTAAATTGTTTTAGCACCTTCCACAAAGCATCATTTGGAGTAAGCTCCGAGTTCCCGCTAAAATGCACAAAGCAGACAGAGGCCCTCTTCCCAGGAGCATAGAACTTGGTGACCATATTGAGCGCCTGCAAGGACGTAAGAATCTCGTTGACCTTTGTCTCAATGCGGTGTTTTTGCGAGTCCTTCGGAAAACCACCCACGATAGCAAGAGCTGTTCCTGGCCCTGAGCTAGTTGATGCATTGGAGGTAGCACCTCTCTGCAACCACGGATCAATAGGACTTGGAGCCTGAACAGCGAGGGGTTGCTTGGCCTCCTCAGCCACCTGTTCAAGTCGATTTTTCAGATCCGCAAGCTGTTTGTCATGACCCTTGAAACGTTCCTCCAGATTGCCAAGTCTTTCACATGACTTGCCTACTGTCTCCTTCAAATGCAACACTGACTGGCTAGTTGCCTCAGCCTTCCTTTCCACTTGCTCCAGCTGACTCTGAAGGGGGCTCAAAATTTCTCGCTTCATGATATCACGAAGGCTCTCCATGTCGTACATTGTTTCTGCAGGCCGCTTAGTAGCCATGACTCTAAAGCACCACAGGAGGCAAACAATTTAGCTCTCGTTTGAGCCAGAACTTGAGCCAAAATGGCTTGAGCCATTCAACTCAAACAGTAACCCAAATCAAACCAGGACAAAGCGTAGACAACTCCAAAACCTAAACCCTAATGTCAAGACATTTGACAGCGCCACTGCCCTGACCCTAAACAACCTGATACCCTAGCCCTAAACCACAGACAACTCCAAATCTTAAACACTGATCAATCCTCGACACACTCTAGACAACTCCACAACCTAATCAAATAACAAAATCCAAGCCATGACCAAACCGAAGCCCTAAATTCTAACCCACAGCTCCAAACCTTACACTACACACTGAGCCAGCCGCAACCAAAAGTACAAAGAGGCCCCAACGATCAATCCGAAAGGTCGGAAGGATTGATCCCTAAGCCAGACCCTAAGTTAAGTAGGATCACGCGAAAGCCTCAGTAACCTCCGCCTTGATTTGCAAACAGGCCCTAGCCTATGGGCCCAAAACCCTGGGCAACCCCAGCTTGACCAAACTGGAAGCCCTACGGCCCAAAATGTCTCCTGAGCCCTAAAGCAAAAGGCTAAAAACCTTCAAGCGCAAACAGGATAACAACCTCAGAACCCACACCGTGAGCCAGTTACACATGCAGCTTTGCATTTGCTGCTGTCGCGAAATCTTGGTTCGGCCAGTGGCGGTTGCTTTCCAGTGCTGGTACCCGGTTGTTCTCAGGGGCTGCTCGACGTAGCCTTGTGGCAAAGGGCTGGGGACTGGTGGCTGTTTTCTTGCCAATATCTTTCATGGCTGGTGTCCTGCGAACCAGAGTGACAGACCATAGAGGCAAATGCAGGCTGCCAGCCCTGGCTCTGGCAAGAATCGCACAAGCTCCGTCAACACCCTGCACCGTTGGATGCATTCTTTGATGTTGCTGCATGTATCGACTTTTGAGTCTATGCTGATGCTTGCAAAAATGCCGGCCCAGGCCTTTTGAGGCCTTCGATTTCACTTTGCCCATTATTCTTTTTTGACAGCAGCGGAGCACCCGCTCCTCGTCAACCTCCAACAAAGGCCTTGCACAAGCAATCCAGGCTTTCTCCAGCAGGGCGCAAGTAGAAGCTGAGCAACCAACATGGACACGGCTGACGCCTAAGGTGGCCCCAATGCCTGAAAAATGCAAGGACTGCAACCCTTGAAGAACCCAGAAGGCCACTCACGTGGACTGCGCGAACATGTGGGAAGCCTCTGAGATGCAACTGCATCGCGAGATACATCAGGTACTACTGTACTCACGCCTTGAGAACAAACATGGAAGGAGATTCCAAGAAGATTTGCTGGAATGGCTGCGTGGCAAATGCATGAATGGGTACATCTTTCCGAAGGGAAACATTAACGTGTCTTTTCAGCAATGCTGGGCACGAGAAGGACATCTCATTCGACGTCTTCTTCATCATCGTCAGCTTCAGCATCACCGAGATCCTCATGATATGTAGGCGTCATGGCTGGAGCATGTTCAAAAACTGACGTACCATTTCCAAAGTCAGCATTACAGGAGCAGCACCTCAACGGCCCCACCACGCTGCACCAGTCTGTAGCTCTTGCCTTGCTCGAGAGCCTGCGAGGGAAAACAACCAAACGGGGGTGGCATGTCGATGGTTCTAGCATTCCGGAACACACCCTGAGAGCTGCCTTTTTCATTTCTTCACGCTGAAATTCTTCGTCCTTTCCCCATGCAATTGCAGCTGCGCACAATGAAAAAGATGGTCAATTCATACTGCACTTGCAAGAGATAGCAACATCCTGGCTCTGCTTGGAGACAACGTCCACTAAAACCGTGTATTTGCCTGTCATACAATTCACTGCAGACGCTCTGCTTGCTTCACGAAGAAACTGTTGCCTGCTGCAGTCTCAGGATTGCGGAAAGCGATCTGCACCGGTACCTGAAGCTCTCAACATATTAACACAAGTTGTCAAAAAGTCTCTGCACACCCGCAATATTCCGTGTGAACGAAATCAAGGTATGTCATCAAGAGACCGCCTCGTGCAAGCCGACCCTGGTAATGCCACCATCACCAATGCCGATGTCTCAGAGTGTGCTAGCCGTGTAGTCCACGGAATCTCCGTTTGAAAACATGTTAAAAGCTTCCTCACAGGACCCAAGGACCCAACTGCCAGGGAGCAAGTCCAACTCATGGTTTGTGGAAAGGTCCTGCCAGCACCGGGGGGAGACTGAACCATGAGAAAGTCCTGCTTTCCCGAATCTCGCAAAACTCTAACTGCATCATGTGCTGGCTCACTGACTACTGCATACAGTCAGGACGGTGCCATCTACCAATGTTGAATTCAAGGCCAAAACCAGTAGCTGGATTAGCAGCGGTGCCGTGAAGTACTGCTCAAACAGCTTTGAGGAACTCATTCCAAACAATTTGCCTTTGGATGACTCAATTTGAACCTTCAAGTTGTCTCCGCAGCGGCTGCTCTTTTTCTCGTCGTATGGTAAGCGCTGGTGGCGCGCGAAATCAAAATTGTTTTTGTTTCTTGAAGTGGTCCCAAGATGTCTCCAAAATCAATTCTTGATGGAATCCTCTTGCACGGGCTGTCCAGGCTACGGGCTATCCAGGCTACGGTGAGACTTGTGTTTCTCACTGAGCTTCAATCAGCATGCCAACTCTCAAAGCTTGGCAGTTCATTTGTTGATTCCAGTTCCCGACATGCAGCCAAAAAAAGTAAATTCTGCAGCAGTCAGAACAGAAACTTTGGACCGCCGAATCCAGGACGAACTGAACCAAAAACCGCGCGTGGTTGAAATGCAAGGTTAATATGCTAATTAACTTTGCTGCCTACCCCAGACCCTTTAATCTACTCCAGTTTGGAAGGAAAGAAAAATCGCTGGCAGAAGAAAATAGCTTTTGCTAAAAAGGATTGGCCATGAGGTCCTGCTTCAAAATGCAGAGGGTCGCTTGACATACCACGCAGAACAAAAAACTCGACAAACGCATTTCCGCCGCCTCAGATCATGTTCTGCCCACTGGATACAGCTCTGAGCCTAGATAGTAGCAACCCCACATGTTGCTTGCGGGTGCCCATCAACTTGTGAATTGCTCCAGCCGACACCATGGTGGCTTCTGAGCCACTGCCCTGAAATCGGTAGTTGTCTGTTGTCGTGACGAGCCAATGAAAATCATGTTCTTTTCACTTTCAGCAGCAATAATTTTCACGGGCAAGGAAAGAGTAAGTTGTGCTTGGGGGCAGCAGATGACCCTCTGACTGACGAAACAAAATAGGTGACTTGAAATCACTGAGACATGGCACCGCAGACCTCGAGAACATCCCAAACAGATACCGGCTCGAGAAGCACGATGCTCTGGTCCTGCCAAGATGTCACTTTTTCGGACAAGAAAGCATCCTGAGTGATAGATGAAGCCATCAATGAAGCCTCACGTGCGGGCCGAACAAACCGGAGACGCACGTCATCCACCTTGCCACTACGCTAACATGACAGTGCTCAAGCCTTGTTTGTGCTTGACGCGATTTTGTTTGCGTTGGCATCATGTTGCAGCCATGGCACCCAATCGAATGGCAGCTGTCCCCTCTCCGTCGCCGCACGAGCCTCTCCATCTGTTGACATGTGACCCAAGCCAATTTGGAACTAGCGCTGGTCTTAAGATTCCAGAGCGAAGCAGGGTGCGAGCATTAGATTCCCATGCACACACCTCTAGCCAAAATGAGCATGGCGTCCAACAATGCATCTTGTTGCAATAAAGCTCATCGTGCCTTTAGCGTAGGGTCTGCGATCAACGTTGGATCCGCAAACGCCTAGGCTAAAATTTGCTTGAACAGTTTCATCATGTATGCTTTTGCAGCAGCTCATATCGGCAAATATGGCACACATTCTACTCGCTGCTTGCTCTTGGTTTGAGGCATCAATGTTCTCCCAGGTTCCAAAGGCTGCCAAGCCTTTAGGCACAAGAACGTGCCGAGCGTAGCCTCGCCTGCGGACACTAGCAGACATACAGCTCCGCCCACTGATGCTGAAGAGAAACGCCGTCAAAGACTGAAAGTGCTGGCCTTACGTGTACTATTTGTCCCTTTGCTCCAACCTCAGGCTATTGACAAAGCTGTCACCTCTCTGCAACTACATGTCGCAGCTTGCACAGCCACTAGGCCGTGTTCTCCGCGCACTGTTTGCCTTGGTCTGCACTCATATCGCTGGGCAAAACAATCAGCTTGAGCTTTGCGCCTTCTAGCTCTGTCAGTTCTGTACCCAGTCACAACCTCACGCAATAGTAGCTTGGGGTGGCACAGGAGAACAACAGGCACCTGAGAGCCAGTGTGCAAAAAAAAACACAAGGAAGTAAATGGCAGCCGCAACAAGACTACATGAAGCTGCACCAGCCACAACCCGCCTGGCTCTTGATGAAAATATACTTGCTTCCGGCCACCTGACTTTGGCTACCACAGAATCATGCTAGATCCCAGAGGAAATGATGTGCTCGCAGAAGTTTGCATAACCATTCTCTACGCTCCGGTTCAATAAAACATACATGCTTCTGCTGGTCCTGACATGCGCACGTGAATGGTGGAATTATGCTAAAAATCATCCACTGGGCTTCCCAGCTGCCGGCTTGTCATGTGCTTTTCTGGTCGCATCTGGGTCATGCCTGCAGCAACAATCATGAATACATCGAACCGGCCCAAACCATCACGTATATCACTGCCACGACATGTCACGGACAAACGACTCTCAACGCAAGCTCGATGATGTTGCTGCTCGTTCAATTCGTTGGAGAGGTATCGAACTACAAGCCAACGGTCACATGTGTCCCAAAATCACTCACATGTATTATGCAAGTGCACTGTGCTCATGCGCACTGTCAATCAGTCGAAGTGAACACGGACATGCCAACAAGTACCACAAAATCGCCTGATGGGCGTAATAAGAATAGCACTACAATTCCGAAAACATGTCAACTTGAAGCGTTGCTTGCCACCTCAAACATGGCAAGAAAAAAAAAAAACGCACGGGCATCTTTCAGGCATGGACCACCATCGTTGCTGGATCTTTAAACATCCAAGCTGCCTGACCCAATTGCAAATTGACATGCGCGGGCAACTTCCTACAAGACAGATCTGCGCAACCTTGCCTGAAAGCTGAACATATTGTTTGAGCACTGCTGATGGAGCGGAATCGATTTGAACAAGCAATTGCCATTGGCTCTGAGGCCACTACATTCGACACGTAACACCATCAGTACCCACATGCCCAACATTATCCTGCAAACAATTGGAAACAAGCGCCATTACTTGTTGTCAACACTACTTTGTTGGAAAACCAACTTCATCTCACCTGATGCGTTTCTAACTGGTTGTTTTCAAAACTGTCTTGCCCAACTTACAAAACTGTTGGACAAATGCGTTCACAACGCCAACGCCATCCGATTGCAATGGTTTGGATGGAAGCAATACGGAACAATACCAACATTCTCATTTGTCGGGGTAGACCATCATCTTGCAAAATAACACCCCACGTCTCCACATCAGGTCGCAACACTGAATCGGCAAGAAGCATGCAAGGTACACCTGGCTGAGCCTGAACGCGTTGCAAGCTGGGCAAGACAGTGAATTTGTTGGGTTTTGTGTTCAAACGACACTGTGGGACCCCTATTTTGCAAAAGGGCTTTGAAGGGCTAATTATCAGAAGCACCTCATGTAGCTATCTAGAAACCTTGCTTGAAACCGCATTTGGAGAAATCTGATAAGTTTGTCTTGCTGCAAAAAGGTTTGGGTGTGAAGGTATGCAAACCAAAGAACAGATGTCCACGGTGAGACCAAAAAAATTGTTCCGACTGTTTTATGTCGCCTTGCTGCCTCAGAGGCTGATGCCTTTTTGCTGCAGCCGTTGCCCACAGCCCCAAACCCCACTTTCTGTCCTGATCCGGCACCATGAAAAAACAAGTTCTCTTCTGGTTTTGTTTGATCATCAAAACATTCCTGTGAGCTGCTGAAGTCTTGTACGTTGCTCACAAATCAGAACTGCAGGGTTTGTCAAAACCAGATTAGTGTTGCGTATGGATTTCTCATCGGCAGGCACCTGGACACGAAGCTTCTCGGGATCTCAGCGCTGTTTAAAACTTGCCGTACGGGACTTTCGCAGTTGATGCATTGCACATGAGTCCAATCTATCAGTTTCAATCTGTTGTAGCTATTGTTCAGTGTTCGGACAGTAGAATGCAGTGCGCAACGGGCCTGCACCACTCTATTGGATAAATGTGCGCTTGTCCCTATTGGATGGCTCCAATAACACCGGAGAAATAAGGAGAGGAGCAAATGAAGACCGATAAGTGAAAAGTAAAGGTGAATGTCTTGTATTGACAAGTTGCTGAAAGAGAGACCCCTTAAAGGAATGTCCGCGTGTATGGGATGGAAAGTAGCACAATAATCAAGAGTGGTCCAATCTTGACTTCAAATTTATCCAGCGTGTTGGTGTTTATCATCAGAAGACCTGCAGGACTCGGGCGAAATATGTGGAGAAGTAAAAGCAAGTGAGATTGCATAAAGTCTTAGAGATAGAGGGCATTTCTCTATCAGAGTGCTGAATGCTCTGGCTTTTTCTTCAGACATGAGAGCCAATGTGATCCATATCAGGATTAAGGAACTGGTCAAGTCTGAAGTTATAATCGCCTAATGTGATGACAGGAGAAGAGTTCTGATGCTCGATTATGCCATCGAGCTGAGATCAGAAGAACTCTTTTCTGGCAACATCTTCCGAGGAATTCTCAACTGTAGTGGGAGCGTAAATAGAGAAAACCGTAATGGGATGTGGATGGGTGCGTATAGTAATTTACAGATTCTGGGAGAGTGGGCAAGGCAACTGTGAACATGTGGTCTAAGAGAGGAGAGACGAAAAAACCGACTTCATGATGAATTAGAGGCTCCAGACGTGAAGGATTTCCCACGGGACTTATTAAAAGTGCTAGTTGAGTCAGATTTTGTCTTCTGGGCGGCTGGTAAACGAATATTACGATGCGAAAGAAAGGTAAGAATTTGATCATACTTGTCTATTTCTCTGAGACCTTCTACGTAAATGGAAATTGAGGCGCCGATGTATTTTTACTAGAATTGCGTAATTGATTGGCCTTTGGAGAAATTCTTTGCCTGGGAATTGATTCGACTGTACTGTCGCTGTTAGACAAACCAGGGGCTCGGATTCTTCTGATCACCGTGGGTTCTCAAGCATTTCAACCGTGTTTTGGGCCCTAATCCCTTCTCGATAAACTTGGCAAGGCATTTACATGAAACGGAATACGTATATCATCTTAACAACATTTTTATACCTGGTGGGGTCCGCACCCTCACCTGTTGAGAAGAGTTCCAGCTCCAATTCCTGAGAGCTGCTGCATCGCTTGAGTCATAAGACTAGCTTGCCCAAACGCAATAAATATCGAAACCTGAAAACCCCTGAAACAGTGAACAACGCACTCAAGTTGTTCTTTTGGCTGCATTTTGGACTGGGCAAGAGTTATAAAGAAACATGTCACAAAAGGCATGCAGGAAGAAGTTTTCATGCCAAGACGTTTTGCATGAAGTTTGCATTGCGTGAAGTTTTCATGCCCAAACGTTTTTGCGCGAAGTTTGCATTGCATGCATGACCTTGGCAGCAGATTCAGATTGCAGCTTGTTATTGTTGACAGCACCATTGTTGGTGACATGGGCTTGACTTTGACTATGAGAGTTTGGCATAGGCGGTATTTATCAGCCAGATGCACACACACACACACAAGCAGGGTGAGGCATTTGCACACTTGACATGGCTGTGATTTTAAGCGCTTCTGCAATGGCTGACCAACAGCGTCAGGCTGCAAAGGACGAGGAGGAGGAGGATGCAAAAGAGGAGGTGTGGGCGGACGAGAAGGAGGACCATGGCCACTCATGGGGTGTGGCCGAGGTCTTCTATCAAGATAGGGAGACTGAGGGGGAGGAGGGTGATGGCGACGCGTCATGCTGGAACTATGGGCATGATTCCAAGGCCGAGGACTCGCGTTAAGCAAGTGTGTTTCGCAGCTCCATGCCTACATGTATATATTGTGTATTTATACCCCTTAAATGTATATCCTGGGATAGGTGTATACAAAGAAATATATACCTCTACAAGTTAGCCTCTGTGCGTGCAGCTTCTAGTTTGTCAGTCTCACCCGGAGTCCCCCATAAATATCAATATGCACACAGAACTATATCTAAGGGTCCCTATATAGATATATATCTACATATGTATATATATATATATGTGTAGCCGCGAACGCAATTCCAGCTGTGCACGCAATCCAACTCATGCAGGAGGAATCCACCTGGAAGGGGTCATGGTCTTGGAAGCGCAAGGCCGAGCCCGACTCGAGGCAGGAGGGATCGTGGAAGCAGTGGCGCGGCAAGGAGGCGCGCTACTGCAAGGAGGAGGATGAGAATAAGGGATGGTGGAAGCAGTGCCCAGGTTGTGAGTGCAGATTTTGAGAGTTGGATTTCCACAATAAAAACAAAATTTGTTGTATAGCCTGTACCATATGTTTATGTACATATATATATAAAGGTTTAATCCTTGCTATGTAGGGGCTCTTAGGAAAATCTGTTGTATGTTCTCGCATGAGGTCCCGATCCAGCTCCGCCAGCAGCTCACGAGGCAGCGGATATTATCTTCCCAACGGAGGTGGGTTCGTAGATGGCGCGGGCATCTACCACCCGTGCCCCAGCAACATGTGCAGTATTTTGTGTGTCCCTTGATTGTATACAGTCTGCATGACACATGTTGTTGTGAAGTGTTGCTGCATTCACGCAAGGCCCGGAGGCGGGAGGATCTCGAGCCGC